CCATGATATTGCAGCTCTGAAAAGTGCTTTTTTGGGGTGGGTGGGAAAGATCTCAGTGCAAAATCGTGGCGTCCCAAATGGCTGCTGTGCTCTCAAAGGAAAAAACTTGGATATCCTGCTTTTTCCAGGACACTTGCAGGCTATGGGGCTGGTATGCGAACTGAATGCTTAGTGTACAGCTGAAGCCACTGTTATGTGTTGGGTTTAACACATTTTATGTTACAAGGCGCATCCTAACCAATCGTAGAAACGTTGGTAGACGAACGTTCTAATGGCAAGTAAGCGCATGCTCTTCCAACTGTCAACTGTCAACTGACGGTCAGTTCATGCTTGGCATTATTATCATGTTGTCCAGTCAGTTTGGTCCTATGTTTCTGTGAGGTGTGTAAATCAGCCATCGCTCAGCTTCAGTGAATTGCAGTTCAGCATGGGGAAACAATGCAAGTAATGGGCATCAATTGAAAACACGCATGCTCCCCTCCACCCCCAGGCAACACAAAAATGGAACTTGAAACAAAAGCAACCTCACTGTGTTTCAGGCCATATAATGTGCAGATAACTTAAAGACCGGGGAAACCTGAGCTCAAATCGCCACTAAGCTTTCTGAGTGACCAGTTACTCTCAACCTACGGTACTCTCCCTCAGAGGGTTGTTGTGAAGAAAAAACAGGAGGAAAAAAGACCCATATATGTCATCCTAATCTAACTGGAGACAAGATGAGGTAAACTCCATAGCTGTTTAATGCTGTTGGATTATTTTACACGCAGGCACACAAAACCATAAGGCAGACACTGCTGTTTTTCACCATTATTTTACTAGTGTTGTATCCGTTTACTGTTTTAACAATGAGGTAGAGTAAGTCACCCTGGAAGTTTTCTTTTTTTTTAAATAAAATATTTATTGAAAATTTTAGACATTATAATCACCAAACACATAAAGAACCATCACCAAAATACAATAAACAAAGAAAGACACAAGGAAGGAAAAGAATTAACACATAATACAAAAAGCATACCACATAAAAATCAAATAATTAATAACCATACTTTCTTCACTTTTTGGACTTCCTCACATCTCTCGTTCCTGCATTCCTAGTCTATAAAATTTTAAACAGCAATTTATCACCTTGTTTCAATTATTATTTTGTAATTTTTCCATTATCGTCTCTCAACTTTAAATACTTTTATCAAGTTTTTAAATACTTAATTTGGACATACTATTAATCCTAAGGTTGTCTTTTTCTCAGATTTCACCTACTCTCATATTCCTTTCAACTAGCTTACTGATGCCATGTTATTTTCAATCTTACATCCTTCTTAACACTCATACAGTTTACAATGTTTTTGTAAATAGTCTTTAAATATTTTCCAATCCTCTTCCACTGCTTCTTCTCCCAGGTCTCGGATTCTGCCAGTCATTTCTGCTAGTTCCATATAGTCTATCAGTTGCATCTGCCATTCTTCACCCTGGAAGTTTTCTTTTTGGGGTGTCAAGTTTTCGAAACAAACAAGTAAACAAATAAAATCCTCCTGCGCAGTCAACATGCCCTGAGGCGCCTCATCCGGGTTCCCAACTTGCCCTTGTGGGTTGCTCCCTGTGAGGCCTCTTGCCTTCCCCACCCCAAAACAGCACACACACCAGAAAAGGTAGTCAGCTGTCCCTTGACTTTTTGGGTGCTTGAACAGTCTCCCTCTCACTCTCTCGCACACCCTGCAAGCCACTTGCCCTTCAAAAGCCTGCTGGGAAAAAGGAGGGAATCTTTAGTTAAAGAGGAGGAATGTGCTTCTGATTCCCCTTCACTGCCTTCGCTTGGTTGAGGTTAATGAGATAATTACTCACACGTTGCCAGCTTGTCAGGCCCCAACAACGCCAAGTTCGCCAATTATGAAAGCTGAGCTTATGTCACACTATTTTAATTCTACCCCTCTTGCTTGGATGCCCTTACACACAAACACAAAACACACAAACTCCTTTTGTCATGCAGATGAGGCCATTTCTTTCCCACAGTTGGGGCAGGGAAGCGGGGAGAGCATCTGAGGGAATAAATTAATGATCACTGGGTTGGGGTTAGTTATCGTTAATGTCTTGAGGTTTTCTCTGTGCCTTCCTTTCATGCTGGCCAGCTAACTGTGTGATTCAATTATGATCTTCGTCCCCATGAAAGGCGGCCTCCCCAGCTCACTTGCCACCCAGGATCAGAAAGGTTTGCTTCCGCGCCTGGGAATGCTGTGCCATTTTGTCATTTTCCTCACCTCCCCAATACACAGGTGAAGACAAAAGTCTTTGAGGGAACTAGGGTTGCCAAGTCTCCAGGTCTGAAATGTATACCCTCCAACATTTCTCCGATTAAAATAGGGACGTCCCATTCCATAAGGATAATTTTACTATTTATACCCCACACATCTTACTGGGTTGCACCAACGTATATAAAAACATAATAAAACATTAAACTTTTTTGTAATAAAACTTCCCTATTAAAGTCAAAGAGTTCAGAGAAGCAGAGAAGGGGGGTCTGGATACTGACCCCCCCATGCCACTTCCGTTGGAAAAGGGGTGTGGTTTAAGCAGCCCGGTCACCCCGTCCCTTCCCATTGTACTGCAAGGGTTCAGGTGAATACAAAATGCCTTGGGGTGCAGCAATCTTTGGGGGGGGCTGATGGAGGGTGAAATGTTAGTGGGATGGTGGAGGGGGAGATAGTAGGCAGGGAAGCTGCAGGGCAGGTGGGGGAGGGAGAACCCTCCCCCAAAAAATGAAAGGAGGTGGGTGTGCAGCTGAGGTCCCTCCATTTAGAGTATTCCAAATAGCAATATGGATGCTATAAACACCTGCAGAAATACAAGCGTTTCGTAAATTTCAGCTGAAGTTTCCAGCATTTCAGGGGGTTGGACAACCTATTTCTTAATAGGTTTAATTGGGTTTGGTGCTTTCTCTCTGCATGTCGTTCCTTGAACAGCTTCCTGTGCAAAGATAAGGCTTGCTTTCATTGCTCTGTTCATTTGTACATTTGACTAGTGTTGTGTGGAGGGAAATGCAACCACTGGGCTGAAAAATGTCCCCCTCCTGCCCTCCTGTGTTTGAAATTCTAGAATAAGAAACTGCTTCTTTCCCCTCAGTCGCCATGTCTGTTTGTGACATCACAGGAGACCATACATAGACAGGGCTGGGGAAACTAGGCCTCAAGGGGGGGGGCAGCACTTGTTAATAAAGAAATGATGACTGAGGAGCCCCTCCCCCCTTGTGACACGTGTGGCATGTGGACTCCATGGCACCCTCAGAAACCCTCCTTAGCACCCACCATGGCCCCCTGACCCATTTAAAAAAAGTTTTCCCAAAATCTGTTAGTTTTTACAGTGCTGCAAGACTTTGTTTTGGCAGTTGAGGGATTGGTATTATTTATTTATTTTGCCCTTTCTGAGAGATAAATAAACTGGTTCCTTTGACTTAAGGTCTCTGGATCCTTTTAAATAAAATGATCTACAAAATGAGTGAATTAGGAAACCTTTTTATTATACACACTTGCAAGTGGGGTAACCCAAGATCAGGCACAGCTTAATCAGGAAAAACACATCTTAAAAAGTTACTTGTCCGGCCGCAAGTCCCTCCTTCCACTCCCACAAGAAGGGGTGTGCCAGTTTACAGAAGTATCGCGTCCGCCTCATTAACATTTTACCATTCCACTTCCCATGTTAATCATAATACAATACAATACAATACAATACAATACAATACAATACAATACAATACAATACATACCTTTATTGGCATTTCTAGTTAAGACATTTCAAAATGGCATGAGATGCAAAGTCTTCTTCCTGTTTCCTGTTTCCACCTCCCTTTATTTTTGGGGGGAGGGTATCTCCCCCTCCCCCATCTGCCCAGCAGCTTCCCTGCCTGCTGTCTCCCCCTCCATCATCCCACTAGCATTGCATCCTCCCCCCAGGCCCCCCAAAAGATTGCTGCACCCCAAGGCGTTTTGCACTCACCTGAACCCTTGCAGGGAAAGGGGCAGGGCACAATGGGAAGGGGCGGGGTGACTGGGCTACTTAAACCATGCCCCTTTTCCAACAGAAGCGGCATGGGGGGGTCAGTATCCAGCACCCGCTTCTCTGCTTCTCTTGAACTCTTTGACTTTAAGCAAATTGTGCAATCAATTTTAAGATTTCCTGGATGATTTAAGCTTATGAGTTGTGTGGATGGCTTCTCGAAGACCTAAACCACTTCATCTGGTGCAGCTTGTAGAGGGAGAACATTTGCTCTTCTGAAATCTGGGCGCTCCTTTTTCAGCTTGTCATAGTCCGCGTTCACCGCATAGAACTGGAAGAGAGAAGCGCAGCTCTTAGGATGACAAGCTTTATCTCCCTCTTGGACTACTGCCATGCGATCTACGTGGAGCTACCTTTGAAGGTGATTTGGAAACTACAACTAATCCAGAATGCAGCACTGGACTGGTGACTGGGGATGGCCACCAGGACCATATAGCACCAATCCTAAAGGCTCCCAGTATATTGCCAAGCACAACTCAAAGTGTTGGTGCTGACCTTTAAAGCCCTAAACGGCCTCAGCCCAGGATACCTGAAGGAGCATATCCGCTCCCATCATTCAGTCTGGACATTGAGGTCCAGCTCCAAGGGCATTCTGGCAGTTCCCTCACTGTGACAAGTGAGTTTACAGGGAACCAGGCAGAAGAAGAAGAAGAAGAGTTTGGATTTGATATCCCGTTTTATCACTACCCGAAGGAGTCTCAAAGCGGCTAACATTCTCCTTTCCCTTCCTCCCCCACAACAAACACTCTGTGAGGTGAGTGGGGCTGAGAGACTTCAGAGAAGTGTGACTGGCCCAAGGTCACCCAGCAGCTGCATGTGGAGGAGCGGAGACGCGAACCCGGTTCCCCAGATTACAAGTCTACCGCTCTTAACCACTACACCACACTGGCAAAGGGCCACCTCAATGGCAGCACCCTCCCTGTGGAACGCCCCCCCTCCTGTCAGATGTCAAGGAGATAAAGAACCACAGAACTTTTAGAAGATACCTGAAGGCAGTCTGTATCAGGTAGTTTTTTATGTTTGACATTATTTTTTATATTTTGCTGGAAGCCACCCATAATAGCTGGGGATAAGTAATGAAATATCATTATCATTTATTTAACTAAGAGAAAAGTTATGAACTAAGCACATGAACAAGATATAGCGTGTGCACCATTTCATGTTTTACTGGAAAACCTTAGGTGACTGTTAACTGGTGGGCAGGGTCGGGGGGGGGAATTCCCCCTTGATCTGACTTATGACTTCAGCACTGCCACTACAGAGTGACAGTGTCATCACAATTTCACCATGGCAACCAGCTGCTTCATTTCTACTTATTTGAAAGGCAGGTCATTGAGTATTTATTTATTTATTTATTTATTTTTGTATATAATATGTATTAAGTTTTCCATTTTAATAATCCAAAAAGAACCACATTAAAGCATTCCAAATTACAATACAATAAAAAAGCCAAATATAAATGCCAAATTATATATCTTTGGGTGGCTTCCCAAGCTCTGAATTTCGCAGAGTGCTAATAATCTAATACAGTGTTTCCCAACCCTTTTTTGGGCAAAGGCACACTTGTTTCATGAAAAAAATCTCGAGGCACACCACCATGCCAGATGGGGAAAGGTCACTTTTTACTTATGTAAAAAAAAATAAAAAAATAGTAACAGCATAGAAGGTAGAGAAGGTAGGACTCGAACCAGTGGATTCACGTTACAATAAAGATTTTGACTAAACATGGGAAAGAACTTTCTGCTGGTAAGGGCTGTTCAACAGGGGAATGGTCTCCCTCGGGAGGTTTTTCCCTTCTTGGAGGTTTTTAAGCAGAGGTGGGATGTCTGTCTGCCATGGATGCTATGGCTGAGATTCCTGCACTGCAGGGGTTGTACAGTACTGGATAGCCCTGGGGATCCCTTCCAACTCTACGATTCTATTAGGATCCCTTTTATAAAAGAGAGAACTTTAATGGCACGGCCATTATTTATTTCGGCTTCTCCCAACGGGGCCACGAAGGATCAGAAAAGCTGAAGAAGAGAGCCTTCCTCAGAGGAGGTGGGAGACCACCGGACCCGCCGAGGAGGGGAATCCGGCCGCCTTTCCCTCCAGAGCTTCGCCTTTTGCCCCGGCCAAGTTGCGCCGAGGGCGCCTTGCGGGCTCTGCGTGGCTTCAGGCGGAGCCTAGGAGCCACTTCCCAGCCTGGAGGGCAGGCTGTGCGCGGACCCCGCCACTCTCGGGGCGCGACCCAGACCCGGCTGCCTTCCACGGCCAGCAGAGGTAGGCCGCCGGCTTCTAACCCGGCGGAACTGGGGCGTCCCGGGCGCAGCGCCGCGCTCCCCGCTCCTCCCGCCCCGACCCCTTCTCCCGGGTGCCCCCTCCCTCCTTTGTTCTCCGGAGCCCCGCCTCCCCCTCTGCCCCAGCTCGCCTATTGGCTCACGCAGCCGCCACTCAGGTGGGGGCCCGCTTTGGCCCCGCTCCCCGGCCGCCGAGAGAGAGTGGGAGCGTGCGGGGCGGGGCTGGGCGGCCGGGCGTCTCCTTCCCTGCGCTGCTTCGGCCGCGTCTGCAGCCGCCGCGGGACCAGGCGGGAGGCCAGTCATGCCCAGACACTGCCAGCCGCTCGGAAGGAGCCGTCGCTTCGCCGGGCAGCGCCTGCCTGCGCGCCCCTCGCTCCCTGCGCTGAGGATGGCGGGGGCGCCGGGCGCAAGGCAGCGCCGGGGCTGCTGGGCAAGCGGCAGATGCTGATGCAGTTTGGGGAATTCCTGTCACAGGGAGCAAGGCAGAAGCGGATGACGGGGCACGTTCCCCGGGGGAGCAGGGCCGGAGGATTAGCCCGACTCGCCCGCCTCCCTCCCACGGCACACTAGGCAACGTCCGGCGGCACACTAGTGTGCCGCGGAACACCGGTTGGGAAACACTGATCTAATATCACATTGCATTTCTTAATTAGTCAATAAACTATTCCAATGTTAATTCTTCACTTAATTTTCATGTTTTGCTTCTTCTTACAAAGATGTACTCCTTGCTGTCTGCCTCTTGTCATGTTTCTCTGCCCGGCTGGGACAAAAAGAGCAACCTGGAGCAGGCATGTCCAAAGTCCGTTTCGGAGGCCTAATCTGGCCTGCCGGTTGGTTTAATCCGGCCCCTGTGGCAGTTTATTTCCTGGGGTAAAATCCTGAACTAAAAAAACCTCAACAACTTCAATCCTAAAAAAAAGGCTAACAACTTTGGTTGGCTATTTGGTCGGCCTTCCCGGCCCTTCACTTAATCAAATCTGGCCCTTTTTGAAAATGTTTGGACATCACTGCTATATAGGATTGCCTTCAGATGGCTCGGGGGTCGGATAACTATACTCTCCAACATTTCTCCCATGAAAATAGGGACATCCTAAGGAAAAGCGAGACATTCTGGGATCAAATCAGAAACAGGGACAGCATCTCTAAATCAGGGACGTCCCTGGAAAATAGGGACACTTGGAGGCTCTGTAAATTAAGTCTTGAGGTCTGCTTGGCTACCTTCAGGTGGCAGGTGGAGGGCTTAAATCTCCAGGTGGGCAAGGGTGCCTTTAATAATGAAGATATAAGTAATTAAGAAAGCTGTGTGGGTGCTGCTATGTCATCCAGGATACGGCTGCTTATCATAATATCTCATGGTGGGCCACTATCGAACTCTGTAGGGTCCCAGTGTAGCAAATGTTGTCACACAAAGCTAGCACTTGACCGAATTGTACTCAAAGTGAGGGGCACCTCCTGCAATCCGCCCCCTCCATTTGTTCCATTTCTGAATGCCCTATCCCACCCCCTAAATCTGAGTCAGGACCTAACTCAGAGCCAATCAAAATGTCACAAAATGCTAAGCAATAAATTGAGTCCTCCACAACACTTCATCAGAGCAAAGAAGAGTAGAGGGAGGAGGCGGGGGGAGGTAAAAAAGCTGGCTTGATAGAGAAGCTATGGTGTCTGCCTCTAGCTGGTGTTAGAAAAGTCTGCATACACACTACAAGTGGTACCTTGGGTTACAGACGCTTCAGGTTACAGATGCTTCAGGTTACAGACTCCGCCAGCCCATAAATAGTACCTTGGGATAAGAACTTTGCTTCAGGATGAGAACAGAAATCACGCAGTGGTGGCGCGGTGGCAGCGGGAGGCCCCATTAGCTAAAGTGGTGCTTCAGGTTAAGAACAGTTTCAGGTTAAGAACGGACCTCCAGAACGAATTAAGTTCTTAACCCGAGGTACCACTGTATACCTTTAAAGGACATTATTTCCCTCAAAAACAAATCTGAGCACTATTGCTTGTTAAGTGTTGCTAGGATTTGAAACTCTATAAAGGGCGAACTGCAGTGTCCAGAATTATTTGAGGGAAAGAATCCATATATTGCCCAGCTATGGATTTTTGCAGAGTCTTTTAAGGGTAAAGGGACCCCTGACCATTAGGTCCAGTCGTGACTGACTCTGGGGTTGCGGCGCTCATCTTGCTTTATTGGCTGAGGGAGCTGGCGTACAGCTTCCGGGTCATGTGGCCAGCATGACTAAGCCGCTTGTGGCAAACCACAGCAGTGCACAGAAACGGCGTTTACCTTCCCGCTGGAGCGGTACCTATTTATCTACTTGCACCGCGTGCTTTTGAACTGCTAGGTTGGCAGAGTCTTTTACCATCTTATTATGTTCCAACGCATCTAACTTCTCTCCGCCCCCACCCCACCCCCCAGCTGCTCCCTGCTTCCCCTTCTTGTCCTTTATCTGAATTCTTCTTGTTTGCAGGAGGGGTTGTAAGTGGTTCACTTATATGTTATAGTTACTGTTTGCTGCTAAATAGGCAGTTAAAGCTATTGTTAGGGATGGGAGGGGGGTCATTACAGAAATAAATTGGTGTGTGGGTGTGGGTGCATAAAGGATTGGTGTTATTTTCCTGTTTTTGAGGGGAAGCTAAGAAAGACGTTGTAGGGTAAACCATAAACCCTCTCAGCAACCTTCTGTGGCTCACAAGGTTATATAATAACCTCAACCACCTGCCAGGGTGAAAACTCAAAACTCTTCCTCAACCCATTGGAACCTGAAGGAAACCTCTGTTAACAGTGACATGCAAACACATCTGTGAGATTTAACAAGACAGTAAAATAAGCTAACAGATCAGGGGGAGATGATGGGTTGTCTGTCAGCATTAGCCTCACCAAGCGAATGCAAAAATAATATTGTTTGGCTGACTCTTCTCCAAATTGCGGTACGGAAAAGCTGTTGGAATTGTGTTTGCTGTTGTCCTCTGTTGTGCAGGCCCCTCCGGAAGTTAAGGCCTTTGGGGGGGGGTGACTGAGGTGGGCTGCACTGCCCACTTTTGCTTCTGGCACTGTCCACCACCAGCATGCCAGAAGGGTATGTTGACCCTGACTGGAAAAGCCCTGCCCGATGCCTGCCCTAAACTATGTGAAATTTCAGTTGATATTTTAGCAGGTCAGCTTACTTGCTAGGGAGGAATAATGGGAATTTTATGGTGATAGTCATATATCCTTTATATTAAAAGACTCAATATTTTCTCAACATTTCCTTATATAATAATTTCCACGTTTTATGTGTCCTTTCACACAAACACTTCTGGAGAACAAGCTGAATCTAGCAGGAGGTTAAATGCTTCTTTCTGTGTTATTTGCTCCCAGAAGACACAAAAATAGCATGCAAGCCCATTAACCCAGAAAACTGCATACAGTATATATATTTTCGCACTGTATTTTCACGTGCTGAAATTTGGTACAGTATTCCAGCACACAGTTCCTTCCCACGAATTAAAATTTAGTGTGATATGATGGCACAGTATATCAACTGAAAAGTCAAAGTTCCATCATTCAACAGGAACTACATTCTGGAAGGAAAGTTAGAATTTGGGATTGGAGCACTAGCAGTATATTCAGGAAAACTATCACAATAATAATAGAATCATGGAATCTCACATTCTCAAACCGTTATTGGCATATATGAATCACAAAATTGTAGAGTTGGAAGATATTACAAGGGTTATCTAGTCCAACCCC